ACAGCCACTCCCCTTATACACATACAGCCAAGCCCCTATACACATACAGCCACTCCCCCATACACATACAGCCACGCCCATATACACATACAGCCACTCCCCTAAACACATACAGCCACTCCCCTATACACATACAGCCACTCCCCTAAACACATACAGCCACTCCCCTAAACACATACAGCCACGCCCCTATACACATACAGCCACTCCCCTAAACACATACAGCCACTCCCCTATACACATACAGCCACGCCCCTAAACACATACAGCCACGCCCCTAAACACATACAACCACTCCCCTAAACACATACAGCCACTCCCCTAAACACATACAGCCACACCCCTAAACACATACAGCCACTCCCCTATACACATACAGCCACTCCCCTATACACATACAGCCACACCCCTAAACACATACAGCCACTCCCCTAAACACATACAGCCACGCCCCTATACACATACAGCCACTCCCCTATACACATACAGCCACTCCCCTTAACACATACAGCCACTCCCCTAAACACATACAGCCACTCCCCTATACACATACAGCCACGCCCCTAAACACATACAGCCACTCCCCTATACACATACAGCCACTCCCCTAAACACATACAGCCACACCCCTAAACACATACAGCCACGCCCCTAAACACATACAGCCACTCCCCTATACACATACAGCCACGCCCCTAAACACATACAGCCAATCACTAGCACCATCCCCACACTCATACATGTGCCCTTGTCCGTTTAGCTATGCTGACTCCCCAGGGCTTTTCCCTTCATCCCCCATAAAACCATAACTTACCCCTTCAAATAACGACAGACAACTTCTTGGAGAAAACAGGCCACAGCATTTATTAACATCACCAAATACTGTATGACTCCTTTAACATATAACGAAATAATAAATATCATAAATTAACATAAACAATTTGCATATAGTCATACAGTAACCAAAGAAACCGTCCTTGCCAATCTAACTTCCCCAAGGCTCTCACCTCCCCCTCGGCATAATAAAAACATCTTCCTTTTCAGGGCTCCCCACCAACTCGGTGGGGCCCAACCATAATGCTCCCCACTGGTCGACTTACAACCCAGTGGGGACACGTCCAACCTGGTACCTCCTCCAGGTTCACCATAAGAGACAGGCGGAGGATGAGACCCGGCCATTATCCCCCTTTTTCATCTAATCTACCAAACCATCCCTTATTTGGCAAGGACACACCCGGCCTCGCTGTGACAACCTCCCGGGCCCAAAGCAGCAAACTTGTAGCCCCATGTAGCCAAAGCGCAGCTAAGCGAAAAAAGGCCTTGACAGGGGTTAGGAGGCGGGCATAGGAGGAGGGAAGGAAGTATGGAGTTATGGGTAAGTAGGCTTGGCTATTTAAATAGGCAGCCATTTTAAAGCCTTCACTTTTAATTACTACCTTGCTGAGTTTGTGTGCACTCCTGTGTCCACAGATTTGGTTTGGTGGGGTCTTTGTTTTTCTCTCCTTCTGCAGGGTCGAAGGATAACATGGAGGAGCTGTTGGAGCGGATCCGGTTGGCGGCTCAAGGACGTGGCGTGGACTGGCTGCGGGCGCAACTTGGACCAGCCCTGGCGGGTGCTGCGGATCATGAGGGCGGCGGAGGTCGGCCTGTGCGGGCTCGGAGGCCGCCGAGACGGCTGAGCCCAGGCGCGGAGTCCGGTGGAGACGGTTCCAGCGGCCGGGCGGCGGCGGGACCAGGCCGAAAAGGACCCGGTAGCCGCATGGTTGAGGCTCCGCCTCCCGGCGCGTTACCGGGACGTCGGAGAAGCGGTAGCCGGCGGGAGGCTACCCGGGAGTCGGACGGTGCGGCTCCCAGTGCGGGGAGGGCTGCGCCTGGAGCGGGGGCCGCGGAAGACATCGGGCGGCCCCCTGGAACCGGAGAGGACGCGGGATTGCAGCCCGGGAGGGCGTCTCCTACACCCATGGCGGGGACTGGCGGGGCCGGTGCGGGAGGAGCTCGCGGACCGCCCCTGGAACAGGCAAGTGCAGGGGGTTCCGGCCGGGACCCCCTTGGCGCGAATCAGCGCAGGAGGACTGGGCACAGGGTTCAGAGACCTGGGGGGACATGGAGAGGGGTCAGGTGCCTTCTAGAGCGGGGGCAGAGAGGTCTAGGGGGGAGGGTGCGCAGGGTAGTTCCAGGGTAGTGAGCATGGAGCGAGGGCCTGTAGCCGGGAGGGTGGAAGGGCCAGGGGGTACGGCAGGGGGAAGTTTGCCATCGGGTGGGGGCAGGAGGTCGAGGTGCGCAGGGCGTTCAGGACAGGTCAGGGGTGCGGGGTCTGGGGACGGTCTAGAGGTACCGAGGGGAGGGGGTTCTTTTAGCCGGGTGGCCCGCCGGGGTGGGGGTGGGGATTTCCCTGCGCTGGTGTGCGGATAGGTGGGCGTAGTTCTGGGGGGGTTCAGGTTTGGGGTCTGGTGATAGCAGCCCGTCACCGGTTAGGGCCCGGGGGTCCGGGGGGGTTAAGGGAAGGGCTCGGCGTGTTAGGTCCTCATCTAGTAGCTCAGGGGGGGAGAGTGTCATGGCCCCCAGGCTGGTTACACGGGGGCGGGCCTCTGGTAGAAATGGGAGGAGTCGTAGTCCCAGAGGCAGGGCCGATCGGGCCTTGGGTGGGCGGAAAGGAGTGGTTGCGCGACGGGAGGCTCTGGTGTCCAGCGGGCGCTCTCAAGGTCGGGACGGGGGGGCTGCTCATGACCAGTATGCTCTGCCCAGGACTTCTTCTCCTCGTTACAGATCTCGGAGCCGCTCCGCATCTGATGTGGCCGGGCACCGGGTTGGCTCCCCGGTTGGAGGATCGTTAACGGATGTCGCTCATCCTGGTCAGGGGACAGTACACAACGCAGCCCCAGGAGCTTCGGGGTCGAGGGGCTTGGCCGGTGAGTCCTCTGCTTCTCTGCACTCCAGTGCATTGGTTCATACACTTCAAGCACTTCTCCACTCACTGGGAGCGGGGGGTGCCACAAAGGGCGGTGTGGGGCAGGTTTGGGCTCAGGGGGCCGGGGTGGCGGGCCCGAGCGAGGTTCCCTCCGCGGAACAGAGTTCAGGTGGGGACACTGCAGTGACGGTTACTGGGGCGGAGGCGACGAGCGAGCGGGCTGAGTTGACGGGGGGGGTGGTTCCTGATGCGGCCAGGCAACACGCATATGTGTCGTTTGCGGGTCCGCTGGGGGTCCACCTCAAACAGGAGGTGAAGGAAAAAATCTGGAAGGGTGACTTCTGCGAGATCTTTTCTCTTCTCCCTTTGGAGGATTTTATTGACCTCAAAGAGGACGATAAAAAAGATGAGAAGAAGGAGGAGGAAGAGAAGAAGAAGCGGTATCGTAAGATTCCCAAGTCTTTCGGTAACTGGCTGAGGGCCTTTTGCGTGTTGGCCAGTGTTCTGGGCGAGAAATCGCCGGGCCTGTGCTCCTCTCTGTTTTGTTATTTGGATGGCATTTGGGAGGCGTATCGCACCTATGGCGGACTGGCATGGTGGCGGTACGACGAGCAATTCCGGCAGCGTTTGGCGGCTAATCCGGGTATGCGGTGGGATCAAATGGACCTGCCTCTCTGGATGAAGCTGATGATGGCGCAAAAAGCGCAGCCATTTCAGCCCACGGCCGGCGCAAAGGGGCAGTCCGCCTCGTCGGCCGCCATGCAAAAGGGCTTCTGCTGGCTCTTTAACGAGGGCCAGTGCAAATGGGGAAACGCCTGTCGCTTTAAGCACGAGTGTTCGGGCTGCGGAGGCGCGCATGGGCTCAACCGGTGCTTCAAAAAAGGGAAGTCGGGGCACACCGGGGTCCCTACCTCGGCTGGGGGGGGAGGGGGAGTTTCGCTTGCCCCGGGGCCTAACCCCGGTGAGGCTAGACGCGATGGAGCCGTGGCTAAGCCGCTACGGTAATAAGGCAGATGCCGTGGCGCTCCGGGCGGGGTTTGGTCAAGGGTTCTTTATCCCTTTCCGGAACCGGGGGGGGACTGGGGTTCGGCGCAACCTTAAATCGGTGGCTGAGTTCCCGGGTGTGGTGCGGGAAAAACTGGGCAAGGAAGTCAAATTGGGGAGGATGGCAGGGCCGTTCCCGGCTCCTCCATTGGAGGGTCTGCGGGTTTCCCCGCTCGGGGTGGTTCCCAAGAAGGAACCGGGCAAATTCAGGCTCATTCACCACCTCTCCTACCCGGAAGGAGAGTCGGTGAATGATGATATTGACAAGGACTTGTGCTCGGTCTCATACGCATCATTCGACAGGGCGGTCGAGCTGGTAAGGAGGGCCGGGCGCGGGGCACTGTTGGCTAAGGTGGATATTGAAGCAGCGTTTCGGCTGCTTCCGGTCCACCCAGCGTGTCATCACTTGCTGGGGTGTTTCTTCGACGGGGAGTACTTTGTGGATTTGTGCCTTCCAATGGGTTGTGCTATCTCCTGCGCCTACTTTGAAAAGTTTAGTACATTTCTTGAATGGGTGGTCAAGGTTGAGGCGGGGAGTGGGGCTGTGGTACACTACCTGGACGATTTTCTCTGCATAGGACCGGCGGGCTCCCCCGCCTGCCTACACTTGCTGAGAACGGTCAAGTGGGTGGCTGGCCATTTCGGGATCCCGCTGGCGGCGGACAAGACAGAAGGGCCGGCTCAGTGCCTTAGTTTTCTGGGGCTGGAGATAGATACGTTGCAAGGGGAGTGTCGGCTGCCGTTGGAGAAGTTGCGGCGGCTGAGGGAGGAGGTGACGACGGCGGCTCAAGCCCGTAAGGTTACATTGCGGCAGCTGCAGTCGGTG